ATGCATCTCATCAGGTCCCATGGACTTCTGTATGTTTAGGTTCCTCAGGAGGTCCCGAACCTGATCTTCACTTACAGCTGGAGGGATTTTACGCTCCTGGTCTCCTTCATGTCATCCATCGACTCGGGAGGGGTGAGGAGAGAGGTTGCCAGTGAAGACTGAGGCAAAAGAGTTGTTTAGTACCTCAGCTTTCTCCTCATCTGCTGTTACCAGTTAACAATACCGAGCTCTGCCTTCTCTTCACCCCCAAAATCTCATCATGCCTCCTTGAGCAGACTGCTGGAGAAGAGCACAACGTCAGTTTCCCAGGGGCTTGTCAGAAATCAGAGGCAGAAAAAGAGAAACAGAATAGGAGATAGTAAATTAAAAGGCCATGTTTTTCTAAGCCTGAATCATGGCGTTTTGGCTTCACTGCAGCTGTAGGCAGGAGTCCCAGTCAGGCCAAACCCAGTCACTGAAGTGGGCTCCGGTGGGTTTGCAAGGAGATGATTCAATACACATGAAATATCACAATGCAGCACAGAGCACAGGTAAAGGGACTGTCAGGGTTTAACCCAGCAGTTGGCAACTAAGACCCGACAGCCGATGTTCACCCCTCCCCCCCCCACCACTGGGATGGGGAGGAGAACAGACAAAAGGTAAAACTCGTGGGTTGAGATAAAGACACTTTAATAAGACAACAACGGAAACACTAATACTAATCACAGTACTACTAATAATAACTATAACAATGAATATGCAAAACAAGCTATATACCATTTTCTCACCACACGATGACCGATTCACAGTCAGTCCCCGAGCAACGATCACTGAACTTTGAAATCATAGATTTTGCAAATTTCGCAAAACTCCCAAAAAAGAACAAAATCACAGAAAAATTTGAAGTCCTGGACAAGAGAGGATTCAAACCCACTGAAATGAGAAAGAGCTCCCACCACCCGGCCAACCCCCCTTCATAAAGTGAACATAATATCCACAGTATGGAATATTCCCACTGGCCAGCTTGGCTGTCTGTCTGTTTGTGCTCCCTCCCAGCTCCTGCACACCTGCTCCTTAGCTGAATAAGGCTGGAAAAAAGTCCTTGATTTCATAGAAACAACTAAAAACATCAGTGTTCTCAACATTCTTCTCATACTAAATCCAAAACACAGCAGCTACTGAAAGGAAAATTAACTTTATCCGAGCGAAAACCAGGACAGGGAAGCAAATTAAAAAAAGAGTGAAGTGGTATTAACATACAAGAAAGCAACACGAGTTACAGTACTTTAATTGCTGGGCTGAAGCAGGAATCCAATGTCAATAAACATTTGACTGAGTATACTTCTAAAACTGAAGATGCCGCTAAATGTATGTCATTGTCCTGCTGATTTTCCATAGATGCAGGAGATTTTTGAGAAAATCTGACCCAGATATCAATACCACTTTATGTGAGGAGCAAATGCAGGTTCTGATAAATGATCTGAGCAGGGCAGTTTTCTATTGGGAAACAGTGAGTTCTGGCTAAATTCAATGAGCATATACTGATCTCTTCAACATATGGATAAAATTGGTGGGCAGCAAAGGAGGCAAAAAGCTTGGGCTGTGATTTGCCCTACAGATAAATATTATTTATTAGATTTCAAAGAGATAAAATTGATAATGCTATTAGGATTTTAAACACAGTTTGCCTCCAGTAAACACTTTCTACTCTTGCATTGAGAGTGGATGTAACACTGACAACTAGCACAGTCCTCTCGTATGCAGCAGGCTCAAAACTAGCTTCTTCCACTTGGCAACTTACTAGAGATGCTTAACCAAAGTCTCCCTTCCTTCACCTGCTCTCAGGCTTTTCAGGTCAGACAGAAACTGACCTTAGAAGGCACCTTTCAGCAGTGCTAAGACTTCTGCTCCAGGACTGCAGCCCCACTGGCCTGCAAGATGATCATGGAGTGGGCTCTCCTGTTTGCTCCTCAGGTGAGTATGCGATAGGACAACAGGTCTCATCACACAGCCCATGGGAGCAGATGAGTCAGGGTGCCAAAAAGAGCCCAGGTTTTTTTAATATTTAATCTTGTAACTATTTAAAGACATTTAAATTCCTCATTCCTTTAAAATTTATGTTGCCATGAAAAACTCTGATTACACACAGTTGGTTACAATAATTTTTCTCCTAAGCATAAAATAAAGTAGTAGGTGATCTTTTCAGTCACACTAGCTCCTGTGTATGTGCAGGTCTCATGCATGCAGTGTAGTGGCTGATCTCTCAACTAAAAGCTATAGAGATACATCAGTACTATTTTGTGCATTATCATCATCAGGAGCATCTTCAGTTTGAAACACAGTCACCTAAAAAGTTAGAAATAATTTTGAGTACTTCATTCCCTGAAGCTTCATTTCAGTTGTATTCCATTTTTCCAGTTCTGTTTTAGAAAACCTTAAAACTGTATTTGAAGGGTTTTCAAGTTATTCCATATTGAAAAAATGTCAAAGGCCTTTAGTTTTTTTAGGCACTGTAGAAAAAAATACATTATAGCATGGCCAAAAACTTAAACAGTGTAGTTAGTATTCTTC